TAACGAGAGAACTATCTCAAGAGACACGCACTGTTTGAGCTCATATTGTACACATAAGCAAGCCTCAATGACACTATGAAAAGCCTAAAATAGGTTGTCCCTATGAACCTATGACTTTGATAGGCGCATTCTATTTTTCACCATTTTTGCCAGTCGTTAATAAACTGAAGTGAGTATTCTTCATTACAAATGAAGAAGAATTGTACGAAAAATCTGAGTAAGATTAATTAGAGTTTGCCAACATTTTCATTTGCCTTTGGTCACTAAGTATTCTCTTGAAGATTACATTTCAATGAACATAAATTTTCGCATGTTTCTTCAAATATATGAATTTTTATGCAAATTGCGAGTTTTTTTTTTACTAATCTTCGTCATTATTACACGTCAGTTTAATCATCTTATTAAAAATATTGAGTCTACTATGTATTTCAAGTTTCTAAACCATTGTGTGCAGCAACTGCATCATGGAATCCTAGTGGTATCACTGTCGCTGGTTTAGCCAGTGGATTACCATCAACATCACTTGATGGTTTACAATATCCTACTGATATATATGTATACGGAAATGGGATTGTATTAGTAGCCGATTGTAATAATAATCGTATTACTAAATGGCATCCAAATGCTACAGAAGGAATCCTTATAGCCGGCACAGGATCGTACGGTTCTTGGAATACCTTACTTGCTAAACCGACAGCTCTTGCTAGTAAATATAGAAGAAATTATGAAGATCTTATTAAATAAAATTAAAATATTTTTTATAGTTCGAGGTGAACGACTCTATGTTTCTGATCTAGAGAATTATCGCATACAGGTATAATTTCATAATGCAATATATTCTTAATTTCCTATGCATAGTAATTAGAGAGAAAAAATAGAATTTGATTCTTTACTTTAGGTATTTCCTCTCCATAGTAATTTGAGTTCTCCAGAAGCTGTAACATTAATTGGACGTTATGGTCAAGGTTCTGATATAAATCAAATTGATGAAGTAACCAGCTTAATAGTTCCAGCTTTACATCCATCATTATTATATATGGCTGATTCAAAAAATCATCGAATTCTTGTATGGGATTCTGAGATAGACACTACAAAATTAGTTGCTGGTCAATCAAATATATTTGGATTTGATTCAATGCAATTATACAATCCAATTGGTATTGCATTAGATGAAAAAACAAATTCACTTTATATTGCTGATACATATAATAGTCGTATACAAAAATACGATATACATGAACGAAATTCAAGTATGACTGTAGCTGGTTGGAATCAACTTAATAAACCATACTCTGTACAACTTGATCCATCTGGTAATCATATGTTCATTGCAGATACATTCAATCATCGTATATTAGTATGGACAAATGGTGCTAGACAAGGTCGAATGATTGCTGGTGATAATACACCAGGTAATAATGCCTTTAAACTTAATAGTCCAACGCAAATTCAATTCGATTCAAATTATAATTTATATGTTGTTGATACTAACAATTCTCGTATTCAACGTTTTGATCTGATATCAAATGGATGTTAAGTTGAAAATGATATAGAATTTTATTGTTTGTTTTATATTCAAAAATAAATTGTAAAGTGTAAAAATCGAACATTTTCTAATCTTCTACGAAAACGAGAATGTCTATTTTTTTTACTTTTAGACTCTTTGTTACTACTTTTGTAAGACCAAGTTGTTTTCTTTTGAGAAGGCATCTTGATTAACATAAAAATAAACGTAGAAATTCCACGTCTCTACGTTGTTTCTATCAAAATTTACTATGGAAACATTGACCACATTAAAGAAAAGTAGTCTAAACAATTGTTAACACTTCTGTAACTTTTCATTTCAAAAAGTTTACTAAATTTTGTTGAACAATAATGAAAAAAATATTTTTTATTGTTTGAATCTTTTTTGTTTGATATCAATAACTACAGATGGAAATTTTTATCTACTGTTTCACAATATGAATAAAGTCATCGCACGAAAAAAAAAAGATCTTTTGGAATGCATCATCATCATCTTTAATTTTGTACCGTATTGGGTGTAAAAATTTCATTTAATTGTTGTCTATAAAAAAAAACAAATAAATGAAATAAACTTAAATAATTAATTATTTACGAGACACGAATAAATGTTGTACGACGACTAAGTTCTTTTAATTTACTAGCGCCTACATAAGTACAACAACTGCGTACTCCACCTACAAATAGATAAGTAAATTTTTTTTTCTTTTCTAAATTTAATAAAGAAAATCTACCTAATATATCTTGTGCAGTGCCTAAAACACTTCCTCGATATGGTACTTCAACTGTTTTACCTTCAGATGCTCGATATTCTGCTACACCACCGGACTAGAATAAATAAAAAAAAAAATAATAATCATTAAAAATTTTCATTATACATGTTTATCCATAGCTGTTTTTGATGACATGCCATAAAAAAGTTTAAATTTACGTCCATCACGTTCAATTACATCACCTGTACCACTTTCATCATGACCAGCAAACATACCACCAAGCATAACAAAATCAGCACCTAAAATTCAAAAATATATATAATTAAAAATAAAAAAATATTGCTTAATTAATTTTTCTTAGAAATGATTTTGAATATTGACAATCTTTATAGAAAAAAAAAATATTTTCTCACAATTATAAATTTTTACACTATACATTTCTTCTTAAGTATCTAAACTTACCAGCTCCAAATGCTTTAGCAACATCACCAGGACTTGTACAACCACCATCCTGAATAATTTTTATTTAATCTATATTTAATATGATGAAATAAGAAACTTACACTAATAATATGTCCACCAAGACCATGAGCAGCATCAGCACATTCAAGAATACATGATAATTGTGGATAACCAACACCAGTTTTTAAACGTGTTGTACAAACACTACCTAATATAAAATCTTCTAATAATAAATGCTATAAATTAATTATATCTAACCTGGTCCAATACCACATTTAACAATATCAGCTCCACTTAAAATAAGTTCTTCAACCATTTCACCTGTAACAACATTTCCTGCCTTTATTCAAAAAAAAAAAAAAAATAGAATCATATAAAATAAAAAATTTCCTACAATTAATGTTTTATCAGGAAATTCTTTTCGAACTAATCGAACAAATTCAACAAAATGTTCTGAATAACCATTAGCAACATCAACACATATATAATCAATTTCTGGTATTGCATCAATAACTTCACTAAAGAAAAAAACAAACATAACCTAGAAAAAAAAATTATTTATTTATTTAAAAAAAATTTACCGTAATTTTTTAAAATCATTTTCTGTCATACCAGTTGATATTGCTACATTCTACATAAAAAGAAGAAAAACATATAATTAGAAATTAATTATTCTTTTTTTTTTATTAATTATCTTCTTACAGAAAGTATATCTTTATGTTGACTAGCAAATTCTTTCCATTGTTCAACGGTATAATGTTTATGAATAGTTGTAAATAATTGTAACTAGAAAAAAAATTATGTTTTTTTTTTGACAAAACAAAAAAAAAAAGAAAATATAATACTTTTGATAATTGTATTGCCATTTCAAATGTTCCAACTGTATCCATATTTGATGCAACTATTGGAATACCTTGATAAGTTTTTTTACTATTACGAAATATAAATTGACGTGTTAAATCAACATCTGCTCGACTTCTTAATGTTGAACGTTTTGGACGAATAAGAACGTCTTTAAAATCAAGTTTTACATTATTATCAATAAGTGGCATTTTTTTTTTTAAAATGCGTTTTATCTAGAACTTTAAAATAGATAATTAATACAAATTTATGCTATACATTCTAAAGTATTCTCATTAAGGTCTGACTGTGTGTAAAGTTTTAATTCGAAATTTGAAAATTAGAGTTTCTATGAAGCAGGTATTCTTAAGTCAAAAGTGATTAATCAAATTAGCATTCTTATTATATGAACTTTAAATTCTATACCGATCAAAAGATTCTATTGTATTTAACAAAGAAAATCTATAAATTAAGACCCCTCAAAAGTCGATCTCAACCCAGAAACGTCTGAAATTTCTAGGGTATATTGAGACTATGGTAAACTTTTCAGCTCGATATCATGATGTTTGACAGAGATATCAACCAAACAATGGTCAAAAATAGCAAATTTGGCAAACAGGATTTCTCTGGCAAGGCTCCTACAACATGTTTTTTTCTTTTTGTTTGAAAGAGCATGGTAAGATGCAGTGCACCAAAGAGTCTTGTTTTTTTTTCATACTTACTTTTTAAGCGAAAAACAAGGAATGACAAATTCAATCGCTCAAAAAACTCTTAAAAAATGGCGCTATTTCTATAGAGACATTCTCGTATATGAGAATAAAAAAACGTATTTCAAAAAAAGAACTCTTTGGTGCACTGCATCTTAATTGATATGCACTTTCTAAGAAAAGAAACTAAATAAATATGCTATACGAGTCTTGACAAAGCAATCGTATTTCTGACGCAAATGGATTCTTTTTTTGAGAGAATAGAAATTAGAAATTTTATTAATACCTTTACAAATGTATATGTTTCTCTCAAAATAAGCATTTTACCTACATTCGCTTTTTTTTATACCTCTTTATTTGATCAAAAAAAATAAGGATTACACGTGTTTCTTGTTACTTGTTCGATATTTATTCTTATCTTGCTGCACAAATCCTACCAAATCAAATGATTTTATCTATAAATGAAATATATTTTCTTTTAGATTAAGTCATATTTTATTCTCTTGATTAATTAATCATATTGTTTTTTTTTTCTCTAAGCCTCTTTTAAAATACGACAACAACAACAACAAAAAAAATGCAACCAAATAAACACAAGCACATCAATATACATGAAAAGAAAATGAAAAGAATTTTCATGAAGTAAAAGTTTAAATAAAATATAGGAATGACAATACACACAACATCGTTATTTATTTATTTTTTCATATCTGACATAGTTCTTATTGAATAATTACAAAATTCATTTTTTTTTTATCTATGCACGTTTAACAGTATTTTCTGTTGCTTGAGCTATTGTTAATAATTTATCACCTGTAGGTTTAACAATAGTCGTTGTTGGTGTTGTTTTTGGTAAAATACCTGATGTTGGTGTTTTAATTGTTGAACCTTTATTTTTCATATTTGATTTCGTTGTTTTTTGTCGTTTTTCTATTTCTTCTAATTGTATACGCATTTCATCTTCAAATAAATCTATTGTTGGTTCTTCACGCCAATATGTATAAACTGAATATGTTTCACTTGCTGAAAATGAATCCATTGGTGGAAATAAAAGATCAACAATTTCATGTAAATTTTTATATCTTAAAAAAAATTATATTTTAAAAAAGAAAAAGAAAATTTTTTCAAAAAAAAAACATACGAAGTTGATAAAGCTTGAGATAATTTTTGTCGTACAACTTCACCACGAGGATTTATTGTATAAATACGTGTTACAGGTATTCCAACAGCTGTATATGCCCATTGATCCTAGAATAAATTTAGATTTTAAGAGAACAAAAAAAAAAAGAAATGAAAATATTCTAACTATTTCTATACAACTTACATTAATTCGATTACCAAAACCAGCATAAAATGGATTTTTACCAGGATAAAGACTAGCAATATTTTTTAAACATTCAATTTTAAAATCTTCAGGTTTTTTAGCAATAACTTCTCTATGAAATCGAAAAAACAAAATTTCCTATATAAAATAAAAATTATTCAAACAAACCGATAAAGTGCAGTCATTAATGTATCAGGTGATATAAGTAATGGTCCAACAGGTAATTCTCTATCAGATTGTTTAATATTTCTTAAGAAATTTCTTGTTATTTGACTTTGTCCAATAGCTCGTGCCGATAAATATATAAATTGATAACCATTTTCTTGAATAGCATTAAAAAATTCAGCTATACCATCATGTGACCAATCACCACCAACTAATGGTATTATATGACCTAAAACATCTGATCTAAAAATAAATATTTATTTAATATTAACTAAAACAAAAGAATGTATATGTATATACTTAGTTATTGTTCCATCAATATCAGATATAACAAATTTAGTCATATGATCAAATAAGAATATATTTGATTCAACTGTTGTTGTACCTTGTAATGCTGTTGTAACACTAAATTCAACTTTATTTTTACCTAATTTAAGATTTAAACATTTTAATTGATCTGATGAAAGTATCATAGTTTTTTTTAATGTTGTTTGATGAGAAGAATGTGTTGAAGATGATTGTTGTTGTTGTTGTGCTTTTTCTTCTTCTATTTTAGCTGTTAATTTTCTTACTTCACTATCTTCTTGTTCACTATCATTATCTGTTTTTCTATAAAAATAAATAGAATTATTATTTAAAGAATAAAAAAAAAAAAAAGATTTGTATAATTTTACGAAATTTTCGATGTTTTAAGATTATCATTTGAATCGTGACGATTTAATGTTATTGGTACAATTTCAGATTTTGCAGCTGCTGCAATAACATCTGTTGATGTAATTACTTTAGAATTTTCATTTTTCATATCAGACTTTTCAAATAAAAGAAATTAGAATTTATAGAAAATGAAAACAGCAAAAATTTATTTCTTACTTTTTTACCATAAAATGGTAACCACCAACCACCACCAGTTGTACGTGGTTTTGTTTGTGCCATATGTTTTTCTTGTAATTGTTCAATTATTTCAGATGGTAATGGTTTATGAAAAATACTTGTTGATATAATAAGTGCTGAAGCAACATTCCAATTATAATATCTAAATAATAGATTATTACATGAATCAAAAACAAAAAAAACTAATCACATACTTTCCATTAATTCGTACAACTAAATTTGGATCATTAATAATTGATGGATTACTAGCAAATGTTTCAAAATTAATAAGATGTGCATTAAATACTTCATCTGTAATTAAAGATTGTTTATTAATATTACCACACAGTGAAAGTTGAGTATCGCCAAGAAAACAACTAAAAAAAATAAAAACAATTGATATTATATAGAATTTAAGTCTTCTCAAAAACAAAAATTCTTTCAATAGATTTGTATATTAATAAAGTCTTCTATATGACATTTTTAAAAAATTAAGGAAAACGATATGTGTACAAAAATATGATAGAATATGAATAATTTTCATGTGATTAGCAAGAGCAGCTAAATTGTATTTTTATATTTTAATCCCATAGGGATTGTGCTAATATATGATTAATTAGCATTACCATTTTTCTTTCTTCACAGAATTCGGTCTAAACGAGATATATCTTATGAGAAAGGTAGAAGAGATGTAAAAAAAAAAAAAAGTGATACAACTTTCAAAATAGAGATGGGTAACAGACGTCCAAACAGGCCATTGAGCCTGCTTAAGCAGGCAGACAAACTTTTGAGAAAACGCGTTTTCTCAAAAGTTTGTCTGCTTGGGAATTGCTATGTTTTTTTCTAAATTTTCAATAAAAAACTTCATTTTTTGAGTAGAAAGTGTCAATATCATATGGAGAATTTTTTACTCAAAAAAGTGCTTTTTTTTTTCTAAACGTTGAAAGCTTCCTAGACCTAAACAGACAGGCCAAGCCGACGTAAAAGTAAACCTGTTTGGACCTCTGATGTGTAAGGTGTAAGCTGCTTTCTTTTTTTTTTTTTGTATCCTGACTGATAAATCTTATATTGAAAAATGAAACTACATACGATGCTTCATGTTCTCGAAATGGTGATTGTGGTATTGAATTTCCTGTACCAGATTCTTGATCATCATCATTTGTTGTTCGTAATTGATTTTGATGATAATCTCTATACAAAAATTTTATTAATAAAAAATAAAAACTAAATATTAATATTTACAATTGTGGTAAATAAAGAGATCGATCAACACTTTGATTATTTGTTATTTCATCAAGATAGACACCTTCTTTTGGTGTATTTTTTTTTGATGATGATGGCCATAAATATCGAAAAACACTTTGTCGTTGTTCAGGTAATTCACCCCATTTCCATTGCCAACGTACATTTGATGATTGTTGAGAAGGTTTATCTAATTCATATTCTGTATCTGATTTTGGACTTGTTGGTCGTGGTGATAAAACACTAAAATATAGATTAAATTTTTATTAAAACAAAACAAAAAATCGTTTTTTTTTTACCTTTCATAAGTTGATGTTGGTGAATATTCTTCATGTCTATAAAAATCATCTGATTGATTTATACGAAGATTATTTGTATTTACAATTGTATCTAATGGTGCTGATTTTGATAAAACAGAATTAATTAATGTATCTGATTCTTCAATAGATTCTGTTTTTTTATCATATTTTTGTTCAATTATAATTGGATTTGATAATGTTCTTGGTTTTTGTTCATTAATATTATCTGAATTTTCAATAGAAAAATTTTCTTGATTAGAATTTATTATATTTAAATCAAGTGTTTTAGGTCGATTATCAATATTATTAAAACAATTTGATTCATCAATAAATGTTGATAATTCTGTATCAATTTGAAATAATGGTAAATCATTTTCACTAGCACTACGTTTACGTAAAAGTTTAATTGATGTACATATTTGATCATTATTATATGTTGGTGTTAATATATTTGTATTTGTATTTGTTGTTATTGATATTGATTCACGTTTACGTGCACGTGAACGACGTTTTAATGATGAATATTGATTAAATATATCTTGTTCATCATCTTCACTTGTTTGTTTATTATATTGATCAATATGATTATTAAATAAACGTCGTTTTGGACGACGACGTGTTGATAAAAATATATTTGAATGAAGTACATCAATATTTATTGTTGGTTTAGATTCTTGTTCATATAGATTATTTTCATTTGAATCATTTTTTTTATCAAGTTGTTTATTATTTATTAGTTGTACTGAACAATCAATATTTGATAAATGTGTATGAGAATTTATATCTGTTGATAATTCTATTGCATTATCTGGATCAAGAAATGTATTTGTATTTGATGGTTCTAAATGACGAATTGGTTGATTAATTGGTGTATTCTAAATTAAAAAAAAACGAAATTAATAATGATTTATTGAAAAAAAATTTTTTTTTTTTTTTCAATTAATATACATCATTTTCTTCAATGAAAACAGCTTCACCGGCTTCACCTAATTGCATATATAAATCTTCAACAGGAACATCATTTATTGTTATATAAACCTAAATAAAAAATAAGTATATATTAAAGTTATATAATGTTATGTCAGACTTGAAATCGGTCAAGTTTTTTTTTCGACCGGATCGGCTAGTTTAGTTACAGAATTCAATTGGCAAAACACCAGAAAGACAAAATAAGCTAGAAAGGTCGCTTTTTATGCTCGACACCATATTTTAGCCTTTTTAAATATCTGCGAATTTTCACAGTTGCAGAAGAATAGTAGTTGGTAGAATGTTTACAATAACAGAAGATGTTTTTTAATATTCAAATAATAAAAGCATGAACTAGCTATTGGGAGTTTCTGACTGTCAGTAACAAAGTCTAGAAAAGTAAACTCGAAATCTCTCGAGCAGCAGAATCTTTAGTTTAAACTATATTTAGGTTCTGATGGGTTGTTAACTTTTCATGATCATAATAAATTCATTCAGCATAATTCAAGATTCTCACATACGACGAAAAAGCGAGAGTTCAAAATTTAGAGCTAGAAGTTGAATGATAGCTATAAATTTATCAGTGAAAAATGTTTACACTCATATCTGTAAGTCATGAAAATCAATAAAAACGAGCAAAATACACTAATTTTAATTTTCGTGTTCTAAAATTTGATTAAAAAAACCGGTTTTAAAAGTGAGACTGGACAAATCGCTCCGGTTCCAAGTATGGACTATGTTTCTCGAACAAAAGGGTTACTTAGAAGAATTGTTAAAACAATATCACTACTACAACAATAATCTCATCTAGAAACAAAATTCCAAATTTTTTACATTAATCTATGCTAAATATTAAATCAACTAGAACAAGGTCTGTTCTTTTTTTTTATACAGGTGTACTTTTCCTTACATTTGATTTAGAGTATAGATAAACTTACACTCATTGACTTCACATCGTCAGATTTAAAATCTTAAATCAATACGTATTATTTATTTACTTTATTTTGTAAACTTTGTAAAACACCTAATTTTCCAAAACGAACATGAAATGGTGTACAACAAAGTGTTCCATCTTCTTGTTGAACAACAATAATATCAATAGCACCTATAGAATAAAAAAAACAACAAAAAAAATTCAATTATTATTTCATTATATCTACCATTAAGTGTTGACGGATTGATATTTCTATAAGCTGTTGTAATTGTTGAAATAACTTTACGTGTTATTGAAGTCATTTTTTTATTTAATTTTAATAATCATATAACATTTATAACTTTTACTAAAAAATTCAAAAGCTATTATATATGAATTTAAAACTTATGTAATCGAATGACTCATATGACACATATACGTGTATATTACAAAAGAAAAATTTTCAAAAGATAATGAATCATTATAGATGATTTCTCTTATCACGAATAACAATAAAAAATTATATATTCAAAAATGAACACATAAAGTATTGATTGTAAAGGTTTAACAAAAACCTTCAATGTTAATAGTTACCAACGAAAGTAAATAGGAACGTTTGACACATGCTCGATTCTCTCATCAAGCTTCTATGTAGTGAAGGCGAAGGTTATCTATAGAATATACCCGGTTATATAAAAGAAAGAGAAGAAAAAAAAAAGCGATCGGATGGTTTGATTGGCTTGCAGGAAGAAATACGTAAAAAACAAAGATCACATATCGATGAAAAAAAAAAAGACAAACAGAAGCAATTGTTTAAAAACCATCTGTATTCTTTTATGACCCGATGATCATTATAAATAACACAAAAAAAACATACCCAAAAATGCTTGATCTTCATAAAAAAAAAAAAGAGAGATCACTGTTAATAAATGAGAGGCAAAAATAAATCTACAATAATAATAAATATTTTATATTGAATATCTTTATAAAATAATAACAAAAATTTTCTCTATATCATACTGTGTCAAGAAGGAATTATGTAACTTTCTTTTAATAATAGCAACAGCATGACTTCCTTTCTTTTGAAATGTTTATTAAAACAATGAATATAACTAGAAAGAAATAAACTAAAAACCGATTGTATTTTATCATGGTATACTCGATTGTGATTTATTTTTTACACTTAATCGATACGGTCTTCTTCTTCTTTTTTTCCCCTCTTTGAATAAAAAAAAAAAACTGTAGATAACGTTTAATTATATGCTTTTAATGGTACGCAGAATCAATCATGCAAATGTATTTGTTTAGTTACGAAGAAAAAAAAACACACAGATGACAACTGGAAGAATAATAAACTAATGAATATGTAAGTGTAAAAAACTTTCAATAAACTATTAGATTGAAATAATAGATGGTTAGTTGAATTTAATCTTTTAAAAAAAACTATTTAACTTACACAAGTTTTCAAGTAAAAATCAGTTACTCAATATATATATGTTATCCTTAGGAACCCGGTTATTTCCTATCTATGTTTTGTATGAATAAAAGTATTCGCTATAAATCCATCGAATACACGTGAATGAAGACCTACTATTATCGAAAGAATGATCGACTACTAACATGTACTTTACTTAAACAAATATCAAAAGGAAAATTATCATGATTCATATATTGATTTAAAAAAAAAATCTTTCGTCATAAATGTTTTTTATTTATGATGACGTATGTATTGAAGAAAAAAATGATTATTTCAACAATTTCTCAATTATCTATTAGGTAAACTTTTAATTTCTCATATTACAATTAAAATAAAAAAAACAAAAGATAGTTTTTGTTCCAAATAAATTCATTGGATTTTTTTTTTGACGTTCTACAATGGAAGAAAAAAAAAAAACAAAAGAACAATTTTGAACTATTTACAAATTTTTAATCACAGATTAGTTCAAAATTGGCATTTGTGAAATATAAGCATATTGTTGTTTTAATTCATATTGTTTTTTAATTGATTGTTTTATTGTTATATTCATAATTATATTATCTAATAAATGATTATCTAACATAACTATTTCTGTTCGTCTAACATTACCAATAAAATCCGTTAAAAGTGTTTTATGATAATCACGTTTTATAAATAAATCTGTTCTCCATGTTACTTCTGATATACATAAATGTTTAGGACAACAATGAAAAAAATCATCAATTGTTTTTTGTGAATCTTGTTTTAATTTTTCAAGAAATTCAAGTGCATAATATGTAAAACGATCAATAACATAAACACCTATTTTAGGATCAACATGATGTGATAATGAATCTTCACCACGTTTTGATGATCCAACAGCTAATATATTAGGTGAATAAAATTTTTCAAATAATGTTGATGCTTGACATGTATCAATAACAAATAATAATTCATGATAACGTTTTTTACGCCACATTTGTTCAATAACATCAGCTAATTCAATAGCTGATATTTCTTCATTATCTTGAAATTTAAGAAAACCATCACCACCATGTCCTGTCATATAAATAAATATATTTGAACTTTCATCAGATAATAAACGTTTTGATACAGGTGTAACTTCAGGTAAACGATTTGTTAATATACGTACAAAATTTTCAACTGTTACATCATAACCACGATAATCAACTTCAACATTATCACCATAAACATTTATTTGTTCATCAACATTATTAAATATTTCAGCTGGACGAGGATTACGTGAATTACATGCCATATCATCAGCTAACATTAATATTATATTTGAATCAGGTATACCTAAAAATAAATAATTATGAATATTCTCTTTAATAATTTACTTTTAAAATCTCTTTCATTTTTTTTTGTCAAACGACAAATCATATTTTATAGAAAAATTTTTACTTTTAATACTGCGACATGTATCAAACTCAGTATGATTATGAAACTTTACAAATACGGAAAAATATTGAAATCAAGATTAATTAACTTTTTTTTTAGGGAACACTTCTATCGATCATAAACAACTTATTGCAAAGTACCATATACAATTAGAAAAAAAAAAACAAGAATTCTTTTCAATACTACGTTCTATTCTCAAAGGAATTCTGTAAAGTTTTTCATCTTGTTCGATATTAATAAAATTTCCTAATTAAATTAAAGAAAATCAAAAATTTAACTATTTTTGAATTATCTATTTATATGAGATAAAAAAAGAATTTTTTACCAAGTCGTTTAACACTTCGATAAATCGAAAGTACATTAGCAACATGTCGATAATTAAACCAAAAACGAGATGTATCAACAAGAATAGCCCAATTATTTGTATGACGTGTTGTTGATTCAGCAAATTTTTCAAATGGATCAATAGCAGATGTAAAGAAAAATAAAAGTATTGTTAAAAAAAATTTTAACAACATCTAAAAATAAGAAATATAATAATTACATTCAAATAACAAAATTCAACAAAGTTTAATCGTTCTACTATCTTTAGATCTATGACGAGTAGAAGATTTAGATTACTTCTATAACTTTTTTTTGTTTTTCTGATTACACTAGAATTATATTCAATAGTAGATCTTCATTTTTCTATTTAATTAATCTTGAAATTTTAGTTTATGATATCGAATAATTTCTCTTTTGTTTATTTATTTGTATGTCAATCATAGAAGAAGAATATGGATCGGAAAAAAAATTATTATAATCGAATGATATTGAACATCATAAAAATATCTACCAATTAAAAAATTATTATAATCCTTCATATGTTGATGAATTTAAGTTTACATTATTGTCCAATGAAAAAAATCCGATAGATGACAGACATAGATTGCATCAATAAGTGTAGTATAGTATTGCGCTAACATTAATAGAATAAATTCGATCATTATTAACTACTAATAATACTCAAACGAACATTTTGAAAATGGTAGCAGTTAGCGACAAAAACAAAATGTATGAAAATGCTCTTTGATTAAGATCAAACTTTTTTAATTTTAACAATAAGTTTTACAAGAGTTATATGTTTCGGGAAATATGAAAACAAACACGGATATATTTCAAATTATTTTATATTCGTATTCGTCTTATCTTTCTGTTGTAATCTAGAGCTAGCTGAGAAGACTAAAGCTTCGTTTCAGAAACGTTGTGCAGATGGTGAAGATGTCAATGACATTCATGAAATACCTATGAATGATCTTCTCACCATTACTAAGATGAAAAATATTGTCTATGATATAACATTCACAGCTGCTAGTATTCATCCATATAAACTGATTCATCAACTTCTTCATACGTACATCGAACAAGAAATGAATTTGCAAATAAACACGCCTATTCTCACAGAAACTTGACTTCCGTCAGGACAATGGTCGATTATGACACCACGAGGTACAATACATG